CTAACCAAATTTAAAGCAGGTTGTTACAGACGATAAATTTCAAGGAATATTTACGCACCCTACTCCAGGTAGATTGAAGCAAAAATCCATGGCACGACGCCAGTAACATTTAGGATAGTGCATGCTTGGGCAGGTCATATTAACTATCATCATCTGACGATATGTGGTGAGTAAAATTTGTGTTGTACATTGTCCTACCATATGAACTTGTTTCGTGGCTTATAATACTGAGATAGATGCAAATAAACTCTCGGCTAGAGATTGATAATGGATTTTACCCTTTAATTTATTACATTTTATTTATTTAACCGAAGTTAGTGGTTATTAATGTGTGCTAATGCACAGTTCTTACTCGTAATGCTAATTCAATGATTTTTTTTTTTTAAATGAACTGATGATAACTTGGTGTGAAATGCAATCGGGTTGAGTTCGAGGTAGGGTTTAATGATCGTATTGAGTAGGCTATTTGGCCAAGATCGTTAGGATTATTATTTGTATTTATTTGAACCAGATCTAAAAAGTCTTGGGTATTGATTGATAATAATCCAGAATCTGTATTGATTTGAGTAGTCATAAATGATTTGGGTTCCAAACCGTAATAATTGCAGAGGGATTGCCATGAAGTAACGAGAAAGCAGAGTTGTCCTTACGTTAACAAACAAATTGAAAATACCTACCACAAACTGTAAAACATCCCAACTCGGTCACTCAGAACAACAGAACAACTTAGAAAGTTCCTTGAGATTTACAGGTTGTTCAGGTGCTATTATTGTCGTTCTTTTGCTCCCTTGTGATTATTGTCGTATTATCATGAGATAATTCTTTATCTTATTGTTCTGAACTGTAATTCGTTCTAGAATGGGCTCAAGGACCATCAACCTGTGGTGGGCTACACTAATCAGTGTTTGACATTAGGGATATGTGGTTAAATGGCAACAATTGAAAGGGGCTGGATTGCTATTTAAAACTACTGAATCATACTTGGAATGATACTTGGTTAGTGATTACTGGTTGATCTTGATAACGGACTGTGGAAGTCGGATAATCTAGATTGTTCCGACTGACTAAGCACTTGTTGCAATGTGGGGTTAGATTTTACCAATTATTGACGCTCTATAATTAGTCTCGATGTTCATAGAGCAATAATTATCGACAATTAGCTAAACAATAATTGTAAAACTAACAAACAGCGACTCACTGAGACTAAAAGTGTAATATAGTCCAGTTATTATCGACATAAATGAGAAGGAAAATCTGTTTAACCATCCTCTCCATCTAGCTCCTAGTTATCCTTTCGAAGAATACCAAAACCGCTAATTCGCAAAACAATCAACGTCTTAACCACTGTATCTTAACAAGCAGCACAATCGTTCATAAATCGTCCAAGCTTCACACATCAACACAACACTTTGTACGTGATTACTATCTTAATTACTAAAGGTAACCTAAAATACACTAAAAGAAAGAAAATGAGGGTTTAAAAGCGTATGTTAAGCTCGTACAATAGCGTAAAACACGGCTCTCCGGGACACAACTCAGAGCTTGTTATACGAGCTCAAGTGCATGAGAGGTAAACTCTGACCCGTCCTCATTTTAAAGAGAGAAAACTTGTATAAAATTAATTAGTTTCTCTGGCAAGACGAGATAGGTCGTCAAGAAGACAGATGAGAGCTGCATTAGGGGGAAAGTGCCAGAGTTTAATGCTTAGAGCGATACTACAATTCCATTGTAGCATTATAATCTTGAACAGGAGGTTTAAAAGTTTAAACTGTGAAATATATTCATCGGTTCTGCAGTTTAATCAGCGATTATAAATATCTTAATTTATAAAATATTTTTAAATTTGCTAGGTCATGCTCATGTAGTATGCGGGCTTCAAAAGACACAAAATCTGCGTATTGTAGAGATGAGAGCTTTTATGTTTTAACTGGTTAAATGTTGGCAATATCTTTTTTCAGAGGTAACAGTACTGGTGAGCAGCGTGATTTACATACTCATGGTAAAAGTTTATAATTTAGTAAATTTCATGTCGTTTATCGCAAAAAAAGCTTTTATCAAGATGAAAAGGTACCGATAAAGTATGAACATACATAACAGTGCATGTGAAACAAGGTAAAACGTGGGTCGGCAGAAAGATGAATGAGCTACTTACCGACCACCTGGTAATACCTTGGTACATACCGTCCACCTGGTCGGAACATATATAGAGCCCACAGAGATACTGTATCCAAGTGTTTACAGAACGTTACATATTCGCTAAATCTTATCAAGTCGGGACCTGGGTACCTGCTGTATCGGATTACGGGCGCTATTTGCAATGTTACCCTGTAATTACCGAGTGGGCTATCTGGAATTTTACGAGATTTCTCTAGAGCAATCGGAACTTTCTGAGATTTCTTCAGATGCTTGCTCCGTGAGCGCCATGTATTATGTTGCGGGTAGATTATGAGAGTAAATGTGATATGTATCTACCGATGTATCGAATGAAATTATTCATAGGTTATATAACCTGGAATATATATTTCTTTAAGTGAAAGGGGTTTGGTTTTATTAGCATCCAATTCGTTCATTAAACCTATTATCGATCAGAATTTCTAGACTTATCAGTATTTATATAGGAATTTAAATCAATAATTATTAATTATGGCGTTCTAAACTTAAAATTTTGATCGATTAGAACAAAACAGACAAATAACAAAATGCGTGGTCTTATTAAATCTTCCATGAAAATACCAAAGTCGTATCACATGTGTAAAAATTATGACTGTGATAAAAATAATCATGATGTCAACTGTCAATAAACAATCAATGTGACAGTCAGAATAGAAATGTTATAATTCCGGTTATGCTTTAATTAACGTAAAAAAAAAAGGATAAGCAATGAAGGGCCAAGGCTCTCAAAAATGGATCATAGTATTTTAGTTCCAGTCCCTAATCATCTGTAGCTTCGTGTTATACGCATTAAAATAGATACCAGAGAGAAACATGTCAATACCAATCTTGTATTATGATTCAATATAAAATTAATATAACCAATACATACTTCTCAGTGGAATAATGAGGGAACCAAGTTCTGTTATGATAAAGAAAAAGAAAAATGAAGTATCTTAAGTTTAATCCTCATGTTGCTAAAAACGTGTTATTAACTCTTATAGAAAAAAAAAAAAAAAAATACAAATCTATCTCTATAGCATGGACGCGAAAATTCAACAAGTGCGAATGTTTGACCGACCTTGTGATGATGTTTGTGTCATTATCATATCATTTGATTTATTTCTATATGTAATAATGTCACTCGATTTGCTGCTCTGCAGCGTTGTTAAATTGAGGATTTCCAGTTCGAACCCCCAAAATCTTGTACCCATGCACATTAGCTCAAGATCTACATCTTCTACTTTAAAATTGAAGGGATATATTGCGTACAGTGTGCTGGTGATCATTATATATTGTACTGAATGATGTGAATACATGGTGTCATGAAGGACTGCCAACAAAGAGTGGAAAGGTCGTTTGATTAAAATGGGCATCTTTTTCAGAGCTGGTTTCATGTGTCGTGTATTTGTTGTTCCGCCTATTTATGTGACGTGCGAAAACTCTGAAATTGAATTAAGCGGGATAAAAATATTATACTTTAGTGGCATTAATTTTGTTCGTTATTTGGAGTTAGGTAATTGTTTATCAAACCACGTCTATTTACTGACGTAAGAACTCATATTGTTTTGGTTACATTCTTGTTACACTATGTAAACCTTGTAACTTGTAGTATGTATTTTAGTGTAGTGATAATCACGAGTGAGTACAGTGTTATGACCAAAAATTGTAATGTGCATTCAAAATGAAATTTGATGAGTTTGTTTTCAATTACATGGGATTGCTGTAGTGTTCATAAAAACCAAATTGTAAGATTGGATTTTAAAATTGCTCTTACTGCTAGAGCATTTTCTCATAGTTGCATATCGGAGTTATTCAGAATATTTTCATCAGATACAATCACAGTTATGCGACTCTAAATAATTTGCCAATCCTGATATAAATGTTTAACGTTTACCACTTGAAAAGGTTTGCGGTCCAAGGAGACTGTATGATGCAATTACAATCAACCACTATCATATCAAGTAACAGCCTTCTACTGTTTAGAAAGGACTCAAATACAGCTCAACTCCTTTCCCTCCAAAGAGTGATCAAATGACATGATGGTTTCAATACCAAGCATTATTTTGTCACACATTGCCGGACTCATCATCCAGGTCGGTCTTGTGGAGGGGTTGTCTTGAGGACGATGCAATACTAATAAAAAACAAGATCTTTAGGCTGCTAGTCTTTGGAATATTCTACCGAAAGAAGTAGCCATTCAATATACTGCTGAACCCCTAAAATTAGCTTTAGCATTAAGGTTACCTCATACTAGATCAACATCACTGACCACTTCCTACAAATGACAACAAATCTTCTTCTTGCCATATACCATAAAAATACTAAAAAGCATGTATTAAGTAACAGTACCATTGATACTTATGAAATATGTCTTCAACTAGTTTTACCTAATTACCTAATATCAACGTACCTAGACCTTATATAAATTTGACAGATAATCATTTAAAATCACTGTCGAGGCTTCTCGACAAAAGCTTTAAGCTTACAAAGATACAAGTATACAATGATACAAAAATGGTAATTACTTTATTGAATACATATAAATAGTAGTAATCATGGAATAATTTAAGTTGAAAGCAATTCCAATTATGTATACATAGATATGTAGGAATAATTTAAAAGCGTAATTTGCTAGTATAAAAAATCGAATTTACAGGTTTCAATATTGGATTTTATGGTCCTACAGCATAATATGCATATTGGCCAGCATTTGAGTAAAAATCTGGGCTCTAATAGTAAGCTGTACTATTGACTATAAATAATGTATCCTAGAAATATTTAACAAAAAGATTTGAAAAGTTTTCAAAAACACTACATATTGAGATGTTAGAATTTGAATCACACCCCGACGCGCACAGATGGGACCTCCTTTGGACGTTTTTATTGCTTATTCTGATAGGAAACGTTTAATAGCCGAATTAAAATGAAAATTTTTTATTTGAGTTATTTATAATGGTACAGTCCGCTTGCAATTTGTCTATTTCACATGTACAATACAAAATTTGTGTCTTCACGTATTATAATTTTGACATAGTAGTAGTTTTAAAAAATATCTTTCTAAAAAGATGCAAAAAAGTCAACATTTTCGAAATTAAAATGGTCATAACTTGAACAATGTTTATAGTAGAAAAATAAAAATGTTACCTGCCGATACCACTGAAAATTACCAATGCGCTGGTTTTAAAAACCGCGCGCACTTTCACGTGCGCGCGTGTGAAAATATAAATTGAAAATGTTTGCGGAGGATGTCGATCCAAGCCAGCAGCGTCAGTTCTTTGTACAGTCAAAGTTGACGCGAAACACTTTTTTGATCTTTCCGTACGTTTAAAATAATTATTATTTAGCTAAAATCTCCATTACTTCTATGTTCCATTTAATCTATTACTTTCTCTTTGTCATTTTAACTTGATTCATTTATCATATTTCGAAAACTCTTGCTTATGATGAAAATGTAGCCGATAACAACCGTGCAACTTTCCGGAATTTGACGTCGCAGACACAGTACAGGTCACAGACTTCGAACAATGGTATGTACCTTGATCTAGATAAGCTTTACTTCATAACACTAACTCCTGCCTTCATTTTGATAAACTGTACCGACCGGCCAAATCATATTAGTAAGTATTCTTTTAAAATATCTCTTCAGTCAGTGAGTTAACTCACAGAACTGACTCCTGGCACTCATTTCAGCATCTTAAACGGCTCAGCTTCTTCGGTACAACACAGACCGGAGGGTACTATTAGCCGCTTTGCCGGTGGTATCCTCCTGGTGTCCTGGGGTTTGGCAGGTTCCTTTTTAAAAAAGAGAAAAAAAAAACAAAAAAAAAACGGCCAGACAATGTGTTTTACACTTATCCAACTATTTACACCTTTTTAAAACCCCTTTAAAGCCAGTAATATAACCCACAAAACTGACTCCTGGCACTCATTTCAGGATCTTAAACGGCCAAATAACGTGTTTTACACTTATCCAACTATTTACACCTTTTTAAACCCCTTTAAAGTCAGCAATATAATCCACAAAACTGAATCCTGGCACTCATTTCAGGATCTTAAACGGCCAAATAACGTGTTTTACACTTATCCAACTATTTACACCTTTTTAAAACCCCCTTAAAGTCAGCAATATAATCCACAAAACTGAATCCTGGCACTCATTTCAGGATCTTAAACGGCCAAATAACGTGTTTTACACTTATCCAACTATTTACACCTTTTTAAACCACTTTAAAGTCAGCAATATAATCCACAAAACTGACTCCTGGCACTCATTTCAGGATCTGAAACGGCCAGACAATGTGTTTTACACTTATCCAACTATTTACACCTTTTTAAAACCCCCTTAAAGTCAGCAATATAATCCACAAAACTGACTCCTGGCACTCATTTCAGGATCTTAAACGGCCAAATAACGTGTTTTACACTTATCCAACTATTTACACCTTTTAAACCACTTTAAAGCCAGTAATATAACCCACAAAACTGACTCCTGGCACTCATTTCAGGATCTGAAACGGCCAGACAATGTGTTTTACACTTATCCAACTATTTACACCTTTTTAAAACCTCTTTAAAGCCAGTAATATAATCCACAAAACTGACTCCTGGCACTCATTTCAGGATCTTAAACGGCCAGACAATGTGTTTTACACTTATCCAACTATTTACACCTTTTTAAAACCCCTTTAAAGCCAGTAATATAACCCACAAAACTGACTCCTGGCACTCATTTCAGGATCTTAAACGGCCAAATAACGTGTTTTACACTTATCCAACTATTTACACCTTTTTAAACCCCTTTAAAGTCAGCAATATAATCCACAGAACTGAATCCTGGCACTCATTTCAGGATCTTAAACGGCCAAATAACGTGTTTTACACTTATCCAACTATTTACACCTTTTAAACCACTTTAAAGCCAGTAATATAACCCACAAAACTGACTCCTGGCACTCATTTCAGGATCTGAAACGGCCAGACAATGTGTTTTACACTTATCCAACTATTTACACCTTTTTAAAACCCCTTTAAAGCCAGTAATATAATCCACAAAACTGACTCCTGGCACTCATTTCAGGATCTTAAACGGCCAGACAATGTGTTTTACACTTATCCAACTATTTACACCTTTTTAAAACCCCTTTAAAGCCAGTAATATAACCCACAAAACTGACTCCTGGCACTCATTTCAGGATCTTAAACGGCCAAATAACGTGTTTTACACTTATCCAACTATTTACACCTTTTTAAACCCCTTTAAAGTCAGCAATATAATCCACAAAACTGACTCCTGGCACTCATTTCAGGATCTTAAACGGCCAAATAACGTGTTTTACACTATCCAACTATTTACACCTTTTAAACCACTTTAAAGCCAGTAATATAACCCACAAAACTGACTCCTGGCACTCATTTCAGGATCTGAAACGGCCAGACAATGTGTTTTACACTTATCCAACTATTTACACCTTTTTAAAACCCCCTTAAAGTCAGCAATATAATCCACAAAACTGACTCCTGGCACTCATTTCAGGATCTGAAACGGCCAGACAATGTGTTTTACACTTATCCAACTATTTACACCTTTTTAAAACCCCTTTAAAGCCAGTAATATAATCCACAAAACTGACTCCTGGCACTCATTTCAGGATCTTAAACGGCCAGACAATGTGTTTTACACTTATCCAACTATTTACACCTTTTTAAAACCCCTTTAAAGCCAGTAATATAACCCACAAAACTGACTCCTGGCACTCATTTCAGGATCTTAAACGGCCAGACAATGTGTTTTACACTTATCCAACTATTTACACCTTTTTAAAACCCCTTTAAAGCCAGTAATATAACCCACAAAACTGACTCCTGGCACTCATTTCAGGATCTTAAACGGCCAAATAACGTGTTTTACACTATCCAACTATTTACACCTTTTTAAACCACTTTAAAGTCAGCAATATAATCCACAAAACTGACTCCTGGCACTCATTTCAGGATCTGAAACGGCCAGACAATGTGTTTTACACTTATCCAACTATTTACACCTTTTTAAAACCCCTTTAAAGCCAGTAATATAATCCACAAAACTGACTCCTGGCACTCATTTCAGGATCTGAAACGGCCAGACAATGTGTTTTACACTTATCCAACTATTTACACCTTTTTAAAACCCCTTTAAAGCCAGTAATATAATCCACAAAACTGACTCCTGGCACTCATTTCAGGATCTTAAACGGCCAGACAATGTGTTTTACACTTATCCAACTATTTACACCTTTTTAAAACCCCTTTAAAGCCAGTAATATAACCCACAAAACTGACTCCTGGCACTCATTTCAGGATCTGAAACGGCCAGACAATGTTTTTTACACTTATCCAACTATTTACACCTTTTTAAAACCCCCTTAAAGTCAGCAATATAATCCACAAAACTGACTCCTGGCACTCATTTCAATATCTAAAACGGCCAAATAATGTGTTTTATAAATACCCTACTAAATAATACCCAGCACACCTACCCCGGCCCATATTGTACTCGTGGATTCGTCCAGACGAATTACTTTTAAGCATTAACAATTAATGTCTCACGATTAAAGAATAACCAATAGTCTTATTGTGGAATTTATGCATTTCTTATAATGATACTTTCAACTTTTTCAGTTTAGAATTCTACAAAATAAGAAATCTTTCTGAAGCAGTCCTATGTGGATGAAAAGAATTAGGAAGCTTCTAGTATCGAAAATTGCCCTCATCTACCGCTACGTAAGTTCCGAATTTCATAAACTTCTGGAATAATCATTTTCAGAGTCACAACAAAGAAAAAAACAAAATTATTAAGTTCAACTAAATTTCACAGTTGCCTTAAGATTTGAAATGGACGCTGTAAGATGGGACCTCCCATTGACCACTAAACCCTTAGGAAAAGTACATAAGTGACGCGCATTAAAAGCGCGGGAATTTTCTAGTGTGCCCTCGACGAGTTAAGACGGGACCGCGGGGGTCCCGTCTTAAGAATAAGAATCTATCATGTATTTCATATGTGTACATTATTTATTTCTTAGCTTCATTTCAGATTTATTTTCAGAAGTGGAAACCATTGGAAACCGTAATCAGACCCGATACTGCAACATGTAAAATGAATCTCCTGTTTGCTCTGGATTCAAATGAAAGTGATAATTTTGAATAAAGGGTTTACTACTCACTGACCTTTGTTTCGTGTGATAGAATTAAATTCAGTCTAAAAACTGACTGTGAATACTATTAACGTTATTTGTAATGAACTTGAAGCCTAAATATTGTTTCAAGAGGGTATTATTGACGTATTCTATTGCGCTACTAAAACTAGAAATTATCGTCGCAACATCTCTTTCGTTCTAGCTTCACTCATTTTTTAAAGTAGGTTAATGTGTACATAAAAATTATATTGTATTGTAGATAAAATATTCGGCTATCGGAGTATAAGGTCAAAAAGCAAACAAAACTTTTAACAAAATATGATATTCGCAATTGAACTACTAATCTTTGACGCGTATTTTTTTTAAAAGTTGGTTATGTGCGGAGTCTTTTAATCATATTAACTTTAAAATTCTACCAATTTTTATGAATCTTTTACAGTAATGTTTGCCAATTAATTTGCAATCACATTGTATCATAATTAATAACTCAAATAAAAAGTTGTTATCTTCATTCGGCTACAAAACGTTTCCTATCAAAATAAGCAATAAAACGTCCAAAGGAGGTCCCATCTGCGCGTGCCGGGGTGAATCAGCAAAATGAATACAAGAAATTTGTGTTGATATCCCACAAGATTGATTTTATTTGTTTTTGAAAACTTAAAAATATGCGCTAACTGAAACAAACTTGTTATGTATGTATTGTGATCCAGCTGGCGAAAAGTGAAACAAATTTAAAATTGTATCCTTCATTTTACAATCATAATATAATAATAGTTATAAGCCTCCGTTTTGAAAATATCCGCATTTCTATTTAAAAATTCAATTGTATGTATATAAGTCAATAACTGACCGTCAAAGCCGCGCATTCATGAAAACAGGATTAACTTGTTTATAGTTACTGGGCCGCGCTCAGCCTGTCATTCCGCCTAATCTACATTAAAGCCTGGGGTCCTCAGGTAAGTTTATAGTTATACGACAAAGAAAATTTAAACATTAAAACTATCCGTAGTTTTTTAAATAAATTATAATCTTACCTAAATCCAAAGCCTGCTTTATAAAATGTACATGGCGGTGGAGATGCAAGACATTCTTGGCCTGGTAGCACTCTAGCTCGGAACCCAACCCAAGTAACCCAAGTAAGTAATAATATTCACCTAACCATGTGCTTTCGCGCCACTTCGGGCGCGCTAATTGTTTCGCAAGTCAAGAAAAATCAATGATCAATTAGGTTCGGGCATGGTCAGCCCCCTGTCACCCGATCTTGAGGTGACGTACGACACCCCGTTTACGCAATAAATGTCTGAAAGGCTACTATACGCACGTCGCATATGAGGACAAAAGCGCGGGTAATTTTGGCACCACTGTAAAGTGGTGCCAAAATCGTTGGGTGGGTTGATGGCTAGAGCCCTTTTTACCGCCGTGAGGCGGGCGCGCTACTGCAAGCGCAAGGGCTCTGGATAGAGCAAATCGTAATCAATAATATTGAATATATAGTCAATTAATTTAAATATTTACAATGCAATATTTCATTTGACCATTGTTAATGGTCTCAGGTCGGGCTCAGCGTGCGCTACTTCGTAGCACTTACTGGGCGGCGCTCAGCCTGTCATTCCGCCGTCATTATGAACATAATAGCCTGGGGTCCCCAGGTAACGTAGCACGTGCCATCGAAAAGAAAGCGGCGCGCGCAACTTCGAATAAATTTAGACGAGTAACATCCGTCAATATTTCATTAATCTATAAATAATAAACAAGCGTACTCCAGCCCCTACACATGCGCATCCAGTCTTATGCAGCGCGGCTCGAGCCGCGCACGCACGTATTATTTTATACTTAAGACATAAACAATTTTTTTTAAATAAAAGAAAAGACATAATCGTGCTAAGGCCCAGTAGTGCTGTCAAGACAATTGTAATGGCCAGTGCACCTGTGTATATCTACACATGTGATTGATGTATAATACGTTTTAATTGTTTATTAGTTGTTCTAGTTGGGCTCGTTGCGCAAACAACTTACAACCATTGCTGGGCCGTCTTTTTAATAAAAATTTCATTAAACATTTAGAATATGCGCGGCGCTGTTAAAACTTAACTTATTTTTGATCAATTTGCTAAATTAAAAATAATTAGTTATTAAGATTTGTCATACGTTGTATGACCCGCCGCGCACGAAGTGCGCGGCTCCCCCTGTATCGTCAGGACGATAAAGGACCATAGTGAAACGACCGTGGGGGTCGCAACGGGCTCTTACTAATTCGCTCGCCCAAAAATTTCACGTGACTTTGGTTTTGCCAAGCTGAAGGGTTGATATCGTAAATCGAACTACAGTCCTATACCTTAATTTGGTCTCATACCATCCGGACGTGGTTTGGAAATTCAGATAGGGGGGGGGGGGGGGGGGGGAGGGGGGGGCTGAAAATCAGAGATTCTGGCGGACGTCGCAAGTTGAGGAAATAACCAGGCCTGCGTAGTGCGTGCATACGCAGTCGTACAAGACTCAATTCACCTGACAGATCCAAAGAAGTTATTAAAGGCATTCCTTGAACCCCTTGCTTAACATAGATTTGGAATGGACTTGGAGCTTGCAAACTATACTGCCAAGACTGCACCAATCAAGACTACACCGATCCAAATAGTGGTGCTACTTGATTTAACTAGGTGCGAAGAAGAGGATCAGTGATACTGTCGAGCATTTGATCGCCTGCCCGGTGACGATCTTGTGAAGAAAGAAGATATTGGATGAACTTAGATTTACCCAAAGCTTGACTTGAAGGTCGTTGTGTTGGCGTTTTGAAACCAATTATCAGAGCGCTATTGATACATCGTTTAAGAAACAAACTGTTTTAATAAATTACAAAAATACATAACATATCCCACTCCATATATTTTAATATACATTTTCATCTAGTTATTTCAAATTTCAAGAAAAACGGAACAGAAATTACACCCATCAACCATATACTCTCGAATCACTTATCACCACTGACACTAACTAAACCCGATCCCAAAATTAAGTTGGGGTGGCTACTTTGATTTTAAAACTAGGTGCGGAAGAAAGAATGGAAAAATCATGGATACTCCAGATCCCTGAGCAATTTATTGATTATCGCCTGCCCACACCGGTTGCACGAAAATTATGTCTTGTGGAAAAGAAAAAGAAAGAACACTATGGGTATATAGTAACTAAACCGTTTTAGAATTTTAACACCAAAAGCCCTTGAACTTTGCAAGGGACTCCGTAATGCATGGGTTTGGGTTGGCGCGGTTTTTTGTATGGGGAAAAAACACCAAAATTAATTTCAGAGCCGCTATTGAGTACCATCCGTCAATTATAAGAAAGTACAACAAACACTGTTTTTTATTTTAAATAAAAACTTACCCAAAAACTTACATAACATATTCCCACCCTTAACCATATCTAAGTATTTTCTTTTCAACAAATGATACATTAAATTCATCTCTAGTTATATTTCACGTATCTAACCAAGAAAAAGACGGGAAAACACAAAGATAACAAATTACAAACACCCCATCACATATCAAAACCACAACCGACCCACTCGAATCTAAACTATATCCACCACCTGGACATGGCCATGGTAATACTAATAAGATATCAGATTAAAAACCCAACCCACAAATCGGACACAAAAAAAGAATTCACGAAACAAAAAAAGGTAAACCCTTCATTAAAGTAACTTTTTTCCAGATCAAACAAGATCACTACCAGAATCGATCCACTAACCTGGAGGGGAAATCAAAATTTAAGTACCCTGGCGGTATATTTATTTAAAAACATTTTGCGCTTCAACGCAACAGCAAAATAAAAAAAGTTTACAAATCAGTCATGGAACAACCAAAGTCCGACAGTATTCCACCCCCCGTTTTTTAAACCGTGATTGCCTCATCCATTACAAACGAGAAAAACTAGAGGGCTCGCTAACATTAAAATATTAAACTAACCAACCAACAAACAGTATCTTTCCAAACCAAATATCCAGCGAAATGTATTATGAACCAAGAGTTTAGTAAGGAAATAATATTTGGTCGAGAACCCTCGTCCCTTCAGCAACACAACTAAAAACACAATAAAGCAACTTGGCCCCACATTTCCGGCAGTGCATATATTAACACAAAGCTGCCAAAGGCCTACCCCAATGAATTCGAATACAAGTTCCCGTTAGCTAAATTGGATTGGTCCAAACACTGTATCCATTTTAGCGGGTCATGGCAGCACAAACGACTTTAAATATCCCCAGCGCCCAAGCGCAAATCCAAAGAAGCCATGTTACAGCAACCAAAACACATTTTCGTAGCTATCTCGCGTTCAAAGAGGCTCCCCGTCTAAAATTAAAAATCCCACCAAAATCAGCACTTTTGGTCCCACCCATCGATAGGGAGAAAGTTTCTTTGAATTAAATAGAACACCTATTTGTGGCTAAATTTAATAAGATTTACCCCTTACCACGACAAGTCAATGTAACCCTGGGCGACCCCTGAGCCCCCGTGTTCTTGTGTATTAGGGAACTCAGGTAAATGATTATACCCCGTGGTGTGACGTCATGTCACGTGGTGTGACGTCATGTCACGTGGTTTAAAGATACATTTCATGGTGTGCTTTAATTTATGAATCTCGTTTCAAACTCGTTTTCAATTATCGACGACTGATGCGATTATCATCAAATTATCATTTCAACAATCAATACACCGTCTCCGGCCTCTATTATTGGCACATGTTATCTCAAAATTTCCGTCAAAGCTCCTCAAGTATCCACGTCTGCTCGCTAAAGTGGTGAGCAGCTTGTCGCAAGTTTTTTGGCCGTTTGTCAACTTGGTTTTCCAATGTTAACCACTAGTCAACCACGAGACAGAAAATAAATCTTCTCCTGGCACAGCTCTCGCTTTAATCGGACCGGTTTTAATTTAGACTTGATTAGATTCAGTTAGCGCGGTCGCCGGTCAACTGAAAACCTGGATCATTTAGCGAATAACCACAAGGCACATAAAACGTGACTGGAGATTTAACCGCTGGGACATTTAACAATGTTAACGTGACAGTGAGAGAATAGCACGACTTCTTTCGGAGTATTTTACACGGCAATTGACATGCACTACTATCCATTGTTTTAATTGAGATTTTATAAGCTTTTATACAAGATATTTTTTAAACATATGTCTAGATTTATATCCGTGTCAAAATCTAAATAGTTTTCATTGAAGTCGGATTGAAAGTTTAATCGACCATTTCTGTGTACATTGCACGGTGGTCTGGTTTAAATCTTCAATTGTGTATTGAACTGAACTCAAGTTTTAAATTCTGTATTAAAATGCATCATATCTTTTCATTAATACTTCGAGTTACGGCTCATAATTTGATAACTGTTTTTTGGCCCAAGAATGACATTTCACTTTGTATAAAGTAGACAAAGCATTGAGGTGTAGTTAAAATGTTTTCAAAGTCAACTGGTAAAAATCAATATATTCTGCCAATTAGTATTTACAAATTTACACATACATTGTACCTCTAAAACACTTTGAACGGGACTCAATGAATACAATAGTAAATGGGAACTTTAGACAACAAACATTATACTCAATACTCATCCTACCAACCACCCAACCATTACAACTTAGTCATCGAATATTGTTCACTGCAGCCCTCGCTGTCACGGCCAGTAACCGATAAATTGCGCGTTAATGTTTATTGATTCATAATAATACCTTTTTAAAATACTTGCATTTTCAGGAGCCGAGGAAGCACCAGATAAACCGTACAATCTGCATCGTATCGGACCAAGACAAGGAACTAGAACCAGAACTCACCGAACTGGACGAGACAATCGACAGCATCCTGTTGAACATGTCCGAGCCTACCCCCTTCCTGCCACTTGTATCAGAATCTGTACCTCGGTCCATGTTTGATATTCCTAACGTGAACGAGGGTCGAGGTTGTTTCGTTAACGAGAACGCGGGCAAGTTTGTTGAGCGATGTGACAGCTCAATGTCCGTCGTGTCTGCTCCCTCTCCCACTTTCCCACGATTAGAGGACCCTTTTTCTGAGGACGTAGCGTTCGTGCCCTCTCCAGCAACTCTGCAGAAGCCTGCGAGTGTCAGACGAATGGAGAGGCGGCGGTCCATCGATAACTCACTGCTCTCGCGCACCCAGGTGAACTCTCCAGTCATAACTAGCACGAGGCGTGTATCCCGACCAAACTTGCCTGCTGCCAAGGTTCCTGACTCGGTGGCACCTCGAATTAAAGGGAAATCGTCCGGCGAGGTGGTGCGGAACGCTGGTGACGTCACGACACGTGGTGTGACGTCAGCACGCAACTTGTCGTCCCGTGAAGGCATGCGGAGCTCTAAGTTGACGACCAGTTCCATTGCCGCTCCTAAAATTACTCGCTCAGGTAGGGAGTGCAAAGACAGGAAAAATTCGCTTCCCAACATCAACAAAAACAATCATATTGTCCGTGATTATTCTTATGTTCATACTTAGCTTTTTTTTTCAATTAAAAGACATTTATTAACAAAGCAGATTTTCGAATATTTATTTGAATGAAAGGAGCAACAAGATGATGAATTACTTTTTGCATGACCATCGAGCCCACCAAAAGTTGTCAGTTACCTGGTTACAGTTGCCTGGTTACAGTTGCCTGGTTACAGTTACCTGGTTACAGTTTTACCTGGTTACAGTTATCTGGTTACAGTTGCCTTTCTAATTGCTCTGTAAAGTACAAGAACCGGCTCTTTTGTTTATTTTATGTACTATAATGCAGATTTAATGCACTGTACAGTTGGAAGCATTTATCGAAGCATCTGAACCGAACAACGGAACTCAAAGTGTATTTGTACATTTATGATTGAGATTAATTGTCAACTGTTTAATGTCTATTGTGCCCAGAACAGATAGAAGGACGTCCAAAAAACATTTAGACTTTTAGGCAATCTTAACTGCGCTTTAGGAAAACCCGCTCCTTTATAATCTATCCAATATATTTGTGGACGTGTCCGCTAGGCCTGAGCTCCCTTTCTTTTGGACGTCCTTTAATTTTGGTGCCTGATTTGTTGATCATTGATTGACATTCGTTGTTAAATATACAATATCGCCTTAGTAACGAGATTAATTTACCCTGGTGGCCGGGTTCAGGGGAGAGTAGTCTCTAATAGTCCTAATATCTGTACCATGAAGCACCTTGTACCGTAATGTACCATAGTTGTGTGTACATTTGTGTGCCACATTCTAACACGTGAAGAACTCAGGCGATATCGATGTAAACTCGTGAGGAGCGATCCGTCCGGTCAGCCGAATATTGACATTTTGCCAAATTCAGGGCGAGAATCTGTTGGATATTTCGCTGTTAACTTTCTTAAGAAAAGATATAAATCTTTGAGGCCGTATTTTAGTGAAAGTATATTTTACTACAAATAGTTTTTTAAAGCTTTTTATCGCACTTTGGCCAGGTGCTGAATAGTTGAGTTTTCATCTATAACAAGGAATCTTAGAGTGATGATGTTGGTTTATTGTTGGTTCACAGGGTTTCAGACTTATTGATCAAAGTGAAATGTTGTATGTAAACTTATTAATCGTGATTTATTTTATGTTACCAATCACCTAGTTCAGAGTTAAATAATTAACCGTATTTGTCAGAGTTTAGTGCTATAGAAATTGATATTTATTTTCTTATTACATAAGTTTTTTCTTTTTCATTTTTAATATGTAGGTTTTGGATTCTGAATAATTCACATAATAGTACATCTTCTAAAGAATTCTCAGAAAACATGCCGGGTTAAATTAAGCTAAATTCATGAAATTGTCAAGACAACGCTATATTTAGATCCAATTCGACCAGATTAAAGGTTTACTCATCAAATCTAGATTGCAAAGGGACTAAATTATTTAAGAATAATGCTGATAAAAGACTAGCATTGACTAGAAACCAACATGATGGTACTGATAGACAATACAGCCAGACTCCACCACTCCGGAATCACATTTCTGCAGACTTTTCCAGCTCGTGTCAAATTAATTCCGCAGATTGATCTGTCTTTGCTCCTCTAATTTGTATTATACGAGCAAAGGTAAAGGGACGAGTAATTTGAACGCGAATTTTACCAGATAATACCAATGCGTGGGCTGATCCCACTATTTCTATAACATTTGTATAAAGCCTTGTCTCCCAATCTCGATGAGTAACTTATTTAATTAATGAAATGAAACATTTTGGTGGTGGGAGACTGCTCATAAGCACTGTGCAACATTTCATTACAACCAGGGAAAACAACTGAAAATTAGTATCGTATTAAGTCACCAACACTCGTGTCTCGAGCGCCATAACATTTTAAAATTAGCACCAAATGGATCTCTTTTCAACATGCACCTGTTGCATTCGATGCCAACTGCGTTATATCATGTAAAATCTAGAATTCATGGATCGTTGTGCATGCATGTAGCCACTGGCGATTAGAAACTTTGATACTGGTCGACCGTTGATATATATTTGAACCGTGGCAACCGACTTGAAGGAAACCGCGAGATCATTTTACTGTCACAAAACGGATATCAACAGCTAAATTTCAACGCGCATGCGCGCTATATATACACTACGCGACGTATAGTACACACATGCAGGTCAATAAAGGGTCGTTCACTTACTTTGTAGGTTTGTAGCGCGATGCACTACTGGGTCGCGCGCGCATCAAATAATGCTTCGGTAGATCGGCGAGATGCACCACTGTGCCTCACCGAGCTGCGAAGGATTGACATCGTGAATCAATTTGTAGGTTTACAACCTACCAGGACGCGCGCCGAGTTGGACTCGTCGACGGTCCTGTATAGATTATATATTGTATATATATATGGAACAGATATTTTACGAGTATCACCCGCTAATCACTTACTGGGCGGCGCTCAGCCTGTCATTCCGCCGAATCTTTATTTATCTATATGTTTATGAACATAATAGCCTGCGGTCCCCAGGTAAGTCGTTCACATATTATATTACGTAATCAATTTTTGGCAATTTTTTTTGGGCCCCCCCTCCGTAATCAACCGTAATCAAGACCAAACCCCCCCCCCCCCCCCTATATTACGTAATCAATGTTTGACCCCCCCCCCCCCCCGTTATCATAAGACCCAACCCCCTTCTATATTGTAGGTTTATAACCTACCAGACCAGGACGCGCGCGCCGAGTTGGAACAAATATTTTACGAGTATCACTACGGTGTACGAGAAGGAGCCTTACGAAGAAAATGTATGTTTTTTGAAAAATTATTTATTTTTTAAAAAGCATATATTTTCTTCGTAAGGCTACTTCTTGTACACCGTAGTATCACCCGTTAACTCCTATATTACCATTTACGTAATCAAGATTAGACACCCCCACTCAAAAATGGGGACCCCCCCCCCCATTTTTGAGTTAAATTTTGATGTAGAGATACAAGAAATACACATTATTCATTGCTGTCTGAGACTTGAGACGATTTTTGCACTTACTAAACGGAAATTGGTTTAAAAAACGAAAATTTTTATTACATAATTAACGAAAATTGTCCAATTGGTATTTCGAAAATCGGTAAAAAATTAAAATTTTGATTACATAATCAACGACCAACCCCCCCACCCGGCCGTAAGCATTTGAAAACCCCCCCTCGGCTGATTACTTGTAGCGCGATGCACTACTGGGTCGCGCCGCGCATCAATGATCAAATAATTCTTCTCGCAACCACTTCGGTAGATCGGCGAAATGCACCACTGTGCCTCACCGAGCTGCGAAGGATTGACATAGTGAATCAAGCTGTCGATTACGTAATATGTGAACGACCCCCAAATGGCCGATTTCGCAGATTAAAGTTTAACGGGTGGTACTAGCAAAATATTTGTTCCATATATACCGTCGACGAGTCCAACTCGGCGCGCGTCCTGGTAAGTTGTAAACCTACAAATTAAAGTTACCAGTTTGAGTTACTGGTTACGCGAATTGCAGCGCGATGTACCACTGGGCGAAGCAAGAATGCTAGTTTGCGCGGCGAAGTCCTCCAACACTGGTCCGCGCATCAAATAATGTTTCTGATCTCGGTAGATCGGCGAGATACACCACTGCACTGGGCCTCGTTTAACGGGTGATACTCGTAAAATATTTGTTCCAAAGATCCCGTCGACGAGTCCAACTCGGCGCGCATCTCGTTACCTGGGGACCTCAGGCTATCATGTTCATTAACAATAGAGATTCGGCGGAATGACAGGCTGAGCGCGGCCCAGTAAGCATCTCGGTATAGGTTATATACCTACAATGGGCCTCACCAAGCTGAAGGGTTGACATCGTGAATCGAACTACAGTCCTATACCTTCATTTGGTCTCATACAATCCGGACGTGGTTTGGAAATTCAGATGGGGGGGGTCTGAAAATCAGAGATTCTGGCGGACGTCGCAAGTTGAGGAAATAACCAGGCCTGCGTAGTGAGTGCATACGCAGTCGTACAAGACTCAATTCACCTGACAGATCCAAAGACGTTATTAAAGGCATTCCTTGATCCCCTTGCTCAACATAGATTTGGAATAGACTTGGAGCTTGCAAACTATACTGGCACTGCCAAGACCGCACTAATCAAGACTACACCGATCCAAATGGGGGTGATGCAACGACCATTAATGACCATTAATGACCATTAATGACCATTAATGACAATGTCAGTTTTGCCAAAATTTCAAATACTGACATTAATGGTCATGTTTTTTTTTCGCACTTCCTGGAACAAGAAGGACGGACACGAGGACCACTTAGAACCTACCTAAAGTTAACTAACAATAAGTAGACGGTACTTTACGTCTTGGAAGGGGATGAAAAGTTAATTTTACAACTTTCTCAAACACTGATATTACCACATATTACAACTAACCCAATTATACCATAACAATTAATGAAGATCGCTATTTAAGCCCTATTCAAGAAAGAGAATTATACCAATGATAACATCAAGCATCAAGGTACCGAGCAAGATTTAATTCCGATGAACGTTCTCCCAATCTAAACTTATTATTGAACCATCCTGGGTCTTCACCCAACACTGGGAAGACATATCGTGCTCAATACAGATCGCCACCGCAGGTCTTCTCTCTCCCGATCGAGCATTTCCTTTTCTTTGTGATGCTTTAGATGTCTTAACAGATATAGAAAGCACTTTGCCCTGCACAACCGTGCGCCTTCTTTTTTCATCCTTGCCTGTTATGAGTATACCAGTTATTGTTCCACCAACTTGCACCTATTGAGCGTTGCATAGCTCTGATTCTGCTAAACCTTTACAGACTGGGCGATACAACCCAATACTTGTATCCAAGGCAAGACCAAAAAATCTTTTCCTTCGGCTTTTCGCACCAAAGTTGGTCTTGCCTTGGTTACAATATTTGGTCACGGCAGACCGATAGTCTATCTCCTTCCCCCGAATTCTGACCTTAGTGGAGGTATCAACCAGCTCTTCGTCCTCATAATCAGAAAAATTGTCTTCACTCTCATGGTCTGATTCATCATCTGATTGTTGTTCACTACCATATGAGAGTGGAAATTGGAGACTCCGCCGTCTTTAAGAAATAACATTTCCATTATCACCTGAAAGATACGAACTTCCTTAACTAGAAGAGGAAACAAAGAGTTCCTCTCCAATCTTGGATCCTCTTTTTAAGCTTTGGATAAGGTTACTCATCTTGACCGAACATCCAAAATCAACAGCAATCTTTTTCTCTGGATGTTTGCTCCACTCAGAACGAAAGAGTGTCTTCCCCCGGGTATGAGCGGTTTTATGAACACTTGTACCACATTCAACATCAAGCGTATTCTCCACCTCTAATAGTCGGTTGTAACGACCCATGGCTACAGGGACTCTTGTAGAGTCGATTTGTGTGCGTCTACCGGAGTGCCGTCCAACCCTAATTCGAGCGAAGAGTTGTTCATTTTGATCAGACGATAAAAACCACGGTACTACTGGTGCTTTGGGGTGATTACAAATCAAGTCGACAAAATACAAGACAAGTCCGTTAGCTGCGGTTATTAAGTCTTTGAAGCTTTCTCTAGTTATGAAGTTCTCGCTGGTATTGAATTTCTTCGAGTGTTCTCCCCACAGAGTGAAGAACGTGAAAACAGTCCACGCATTTTCAGCTCTTTCTGAAACAGTCAGCGATTTGTCATAAAACGCTGCCAGGAGCAAAAACCCGGCCTTAAGATAGGCCGAGAAATCCTGCTTGTTTTAGAACATCCCATGTAGCCATTAGCTCTGCAGCACACTGCGGGTTTTGTCTATCAGAGTGCTGCAGAGTTGTAAGGGATACAGAGTTTCTGAATTCTTCACTTTCCGTAGCGAGTTTAAGAATCATCCCCCAGTTTAGGGTGAATTTCGTGTCCTCGATCGAATCAGAATCGGCCATTATGATGAATCTAGTACTGAGGTAATGGAGACAGTTAACCAGTTTTTTCAACTCATGACAGATGTCCTGCATGGGAAAGTATCCTGTTTTGTTGAAGTAAAATACTGGCGGGTACTCCAACTTCGACAGCTCGCTCTGACTGGCTGTTTTGATCCGTTCATCTGTATTGACCTAAGCCGCTGATCTCCGTACGAAACATAATTTCTCCCCTCAATTAGTCAAGGCTACTGCCAGATATTTCAAAATTTGAGATATCTTATGACCATTTATGACCATTAATGACCATTAATGACAATGTCAGTTTCGGAAAAATCTCAAATACTGACATTAATGGACGTTGCATTACCCCCATCCAAATAGTGGTGCTACTTGATTTAACTAGGTGCGAAGAAGAGGATCAGTGATACTGTCGAACATTTGATCGCCTGCCCGGTGACGATCTTGTGAAGAAAGAGGATATTTGATGAACTTAGATTTACCCAAAGCTTGACTTGAAGGTCGTTGTGTTGGCGTTTTGAAACCAATAATCAGAGCGCTATTGATACATCGTTTAAGAAACAAACTGTTTTAATAAATTACAAAAATACATAACATATCCCACTCCTTATATTTTAATATACATTTTCATCTAGTTATTTCAAATTTCAAGAAAAACGGAACAGAAATTACACCCATCAACCATATACTCTCGAATCACTTATCACCACTGACATGCTGTAATCTATAGTTCAGAAACCCACCACATCGAAAAAGAATACGAAAAAGTACCTTTTTCATCAAACAAATCAACTCCAGAATCGATCACTTAACCTGGAGGGGGATCATTAAGTCTGCTGTTTAAAATTTGCTTCACAGCAAATAAAAAGTTAAACAGTGAACATTCGTCCGTACCGTTCATCATTAAACGAAACTAGGGGCAGCTAACAGTTAAACTACCACATATTTTCACCACTTCTGCGAATGATTGAACAAGAGTAGTAGGAATAATTTGAGAACTCTTCTCAGCACTAAAACATGCAAAAGCTTGCCACATTTCCGAGTGCATATATATCAAACTGCGGCTCCCAATGTTTCGATTCAAGTCCGTAGCTCAATGTTCAACTTCATTTAGGGCATGGCAGCAAACGACTTTATCGCCAGCGATCCATAGCTGTACAGCAAACACAAATCGTAGCTCGCTTAGAGTCGCTAAAATTATCCACAATAAGAATGTCATCAGATTCTTTGAATTACACCTTGTGCTTTTTGTTCTTCCAGAAGTATTTGGGACCTTGGCCGTTTTGTTTCCACGATTTCCTTTCTTCCCACCGCTTCTGATTCTTGTTAAAATCGTGAGCTTTCTGAAAATCGTGTTTCTCTCTAAAATTATTATTTTTCTGTTGTTTAACTTTCTTAACACGGCCTTCATCTAATTCTTCTTCGTAATCATCTCTAACCCTCTTGTGAGGATTTTCGATTGACTTCCAATTCTCAGTACCTTTTTTGAAGTTCTTAGACTCCTCCCCGGACCAACTTTTGATCCCCGACTTCATGCCAAGTCTCTCGAACACGTTTCCAGAGGAGGGTGTTTTCTTCTCGGCAGCATCTTTCAGTCTGTCGAATACACTGTTCTTCTCCCCTGACTTCTTCTTCTTAAGGATGAGAGCAGGTTGAGCGTTAGGTTTGTGAAGCTGCGCTTCTTCCTCTGACTCGTCTTTGTACGTGTTTTTCAGAATATCAAGAGAGGAGAGAGAAGCTGCACAACTGATAACTGAAGAAGGCTTTTTAGGGGTGGCAGTTTTGTCGGAGTTCTCATTCGGTTTCTCTGTCGCATTTGAGTTCACAGATTGGCCAGTCTTGTTTGAAGCTGGGGATTGTTTTTCGGCATTAGGTTGAACAGGACCAGTTTCATTTGTTGGAATGTGCTTGCTGGCTGTGCCGTTTGACCGCATTGATCCATTCGGGAGAAGGGGACCAATAAATCCAGCTCCATTGGATTTCTCAGTTTTGTTGAGATAGGGGTTTTTTACTTTGTTTGAGTTGACTGACAAGTTGAACTTGACCGGTCGACCCGAATTTAGTCCGGATTTCGTTTGCTTTGGAGATTCCGAAAAGAATGGGTTTGACTCCATCAGTCTCACCTTCAACGAGTTGTGATTGCCTGAAATTATGGATATTGAGCTATCATTCTATCAAAGGAGCTCTCCAACTTGAACAATAATAACACATATAAGATATATATATATGCGTGTCATATTATGTACATGAAATAAGAATAGCTAGTGTGACATACCATTTGTTTTAGAAGGTCCAACAGAGGTTTGTCCGTTTGAATGAGAAGAGACAGAATGGCCGTTCGTTGCGGCTGTTACACCATTGCTAATCGAGCCCTGCAAAAATATTCAATCAAAATCGAACCCAGTAAATTTCGGGCATACTGCCAGCCAAATACAATGTACACCTCAAACCGCGACACATGTGAAGCAGAGACAGATATACAACGCGCCCAACGAGGACATGTGTGCGCGCAGATGTTTAGAGCCACTGAGTGCTAAGTCAAATAGGAGCTGTATCTAAGGGACTATTTCGCGCGTAACGTTATCAGCGCATTCCTTTGTCACAATGAGACCGGCTCACCTCGTGTCTGATATAAAAAAGAAGATAAGCTTCCGAGTTAAGGACTCTCTGTAGACTGACAGTATTCACACTTGTATCGTTCATACAGTGCCACGACCCTGAAAAAATGTTACGTCATGCTCGGTGTTTCTCCGACAAACAGCCTTCTAGCTATTCTAAAAATGCAATTTGATCCATGTTTCCCGCTACAATTTTGGCGGCAACGTAGGAAACAAGCACAGAGCGAAAACATATTTACCTGAAGCAGACTTGACAAAACAGTAGTAGTGCCCACATTGCGCCGAGGAACCAGCATGCACAAGAACTGCATACAAATTATACTTTGTAGTTGCACCCTGAGATTGGTTTAGTTAGGAATTCAATTTAACTGTGAGCGGGCTTTTCAAACATATCTTGTATCTAGTGCCATCAACAACTTAACCTTGAAATAGAATTTGATGTAATAAAAACAGTAATGATAAAAATACCTTTTGTTTGGTCCAGTTTGCCAAGTCTAGATGTTCTGGAAAAGTTATCTGATTTTTAAGTTTCCCCGTGAATCCTCCAAATTGAAATCTCTTCAAGTGCAGAACCAAGACATTGGGCGTTTCGGCTATTTTAAACTGCTTGGTGGCTATAACCGTTCTTTTACATCTGAAAGATTAAGTCAGTGAAACAGCTGTTATTCAATTTTAGTTCTTCATTTTAATTTTTTCCCTTTGTTTTTAGAGATACGATGTTTGTTGAATGTTAGAGCTGCAATCCGCTAATCCGCAATATTTGTGCTAAGATTGTGAACAGGCCTGCCTTTTGAGTTTCCTGTTCACTTACTCATGTATATTATCTAACACTGATCATTCAAATTATAAAATTTAATTGAGGTGGAGGTACAATACAAACAAGCCTGTCAGGTAATTCTCAAGGGAGAAAGGCGTTCACTTTTCTGTCATTAATTAGTAATTTTTAAGATATTTTGGCAGTGTAACGTTAACTCCCTTATCAATACAACACTGCAGTAAGCACGGTAATATAATCACTATTTATACAACTTAATACCTCATATTTTACTAAAACGGTTAAATTTAGATTCAACGAGTCAGCAAAACAATAACAAATATCTTCTCAAAAATAGGTTAAAAAGTAATTTTGTCCCCTTACTTTTCACATTTGTAAGAGTTAGCTCCACTTAAGGTCTCTCTTTTGCAAAGCTTGTTGAAGGACTGCTGAATCGATTCACTGTGCTGAAATGACAGACCATATTTACAATGATAGACATTGTGTTTAATGTTTTATTCCAGGATAGACAATTATAAACATGAATAAATTATGATCGAAGGGCCAAATGTGTAGCTGGGGGGGGGGGGGGGGGGGGGGTCCAACACACACTAAATACACACCAATACTCCTCACAACCAATAATTGAACAAGTTAAATTCTCCTCCTAACAAGTAAAATAAGCTACAAACAACCAAACAACTTACCCGAACATCAAGTCCCAGCTCGAGAAAACACTCGTTAGTGTTGCTCTGATGGTTACACTGGGTGCAGGTTACTGTGGAGACGAGCTTACCACCAAACACCGCGTGTGTTGGTGTGGTGTCTTTTCTGGTGTTATCTACCCTGAAATTGTACATCTGTTATCTCATGAGATTGTACATCTGTTATCTCATGAGATTGTACATCTGTTATCTCATGAGATTGTACATCTGTTATCTCATGAGATTGTACATCTGTTATCTCATGAGATTGTACATCTGTTATCTCATGAGATTGTACATCTGTTATCTCATGAGATTGTACATCTGTTATCTCATGAGATTGTACATCTGTTATCTCATGAGATTCTACATCTGTTATCTCATGAGATTGTACATCTGTTATCTCATGAGATTGTACATCTGTTATCTCATGAGATTCTACATCTGTTATCTTATGGTAATATAAGATATTTCTATATATGATGAGTTTTATTTTGACTCTGTGAAATGAGTTGTGGGTAGTATCATGAGATTTATTATGTATAACGTACTTGGGATGGGAATTTAGGAAATGTTGTATCATTTTATCTCGGAGGTGTATTAAAAACTCGTGCGCGTCTTCTTGTCGACCAAAACAGAAGTGTTTTGCTATCACTGAAAGAAATAGATTTTTAATAAACAGAACTAATTACAGTAAAAATCCAGAATCTCTATTTTATATAATAAATTAATATGAATAAATAAATAAATAAACCTATATCCTAACTCGATTACCAGAAAATCAAAACACAAAAAAGGCATACATTACATTATTAAAATTAATGGTCACTTTCTAGTATCTAGTATTCCACGTTGTATCCAAACACAGAAAGTATAAATTTCTGACTACGATAAAAATCTGCCAGGAAAATGTCCAACATAAATATAAGGGCAAGTGTGAACTTACTTTTAAGGTGGTGTATAAAGGAGGAAGGACGACAAGCTCCTCCACTAGAATTATTCACTGTGTTGTAGAGTTGTAGTAAACTGCAGCTAACGCAGAATCCCCCCGAGCGACCTTTCAATTATATTTAAGTTTATGTAACGTTTTACATTTGTAACAGATCCGTTAATGGACGAATAAAGGATGAGGTTGAATTTTTTAAATAACGCTGATGATTTCCAGCTATGGTGGTGAACAGTAAATAGTAAAATAACAATCAAGTGCACTCTCTTGCAGATGAGGAAAATTCTAGCAAACAAATTCTATCAGGAACATTCTAGTAAATTCCAGCAGAAAGAGATTTATTCCAGGTACTCACAATGTTTCTTGTGATCAGTAAGTAGATAGTTAATAAGAGGAGGAGTGTAGAGAAGACACTGTAATGTTGAGTTGAGATAACAAGTGTTAGCAGGATTAACCAGCCCGCAACCCACACTCCGCTTCTGTCTCCACCTCAACTCTACTCTGTCTTTGTTATAGAGCTCATTCTGTAGACTCCTGGGTGTGGTTTGTTAGTTTAGTAGATAAACACAAGGGAGCGGAGATTAAATTATAAAGTGTTGTTAGAACCAGAAATTGTGAACACTTTTGGCATATACAATATACATTATACAATGAACAATGTACGAACAATGTAAGAAACACTGTACTCTAAGAAACCAAGGTCTAGTTTTACACAGCAGCTCTTTAAATCCTTATTTATCATAAAAAGAAAATTTCCTGTACACAATTAACAAATCATCCATACTTAGTCTGAGGGATAACGGAGGATTTATCTATTCCGTTGATTGGTTTGTATTTGAGTCGGAGTTGTTCCATGTAACTGTCCTTCTTCGTTGGGGCAACAAACTCGATACTGACAAAACAATTGGTTAAGTGCACACTCCACCACACAAACGTAGATCACGTGCCAGTGGCAAACAATTGAAATGTGGTAGTGTAAGCTGATCATAACGATTCGTTTTAGGAAAGGTTAAACAAACATGCAACTTATTGGTGTAGATAATTTGTTGACACAGTGAACGACCGTTCGTTCATACATGATATAATAAATGTCTGGTACCAAGGAGCCCGGCAAGGCTGCAACATCAAATCGGAAGATATATAGTACAGCATATTTCTAATCAAGCATACCTCGCTATCATTTAGCATGGTGTTTGCTCCCACAAATTACTAACTAATTTAAATTGCATGGCATTTGACTCACCGTTCAGTTAGGAGGCGTGAAGGAGTGTGGTTATCGAGGGTAGAAGAAGATCCCAAGAGATTAAACAATGCTGAGTCGATGCTCGGCATCTTAACATTTCATGTACGCTCAGACATCTTGGTAAATGATTTAATAAACAGTGCTAGAATGAAAATAAGCATGATATTACATGATTTTTCATTGAATCTTTTTTAAAATATAATTGCATTGATACAACATGGTCCCAACTAGCGGATCAAATGTACTTTCGGAAAGGTACCATTTAAAAATTAAGCCGGTTCGAGTAAAATATAGAGAAAATGTGAATTTTAACATTTGATTCTGTTAATTTTCTTCCAAGTTACTGACAACGTGTTATCTAGAGGAGTACTAAGATTTATAATAGTTTCTTTAGACTGCGACTAATTAGCCAGTTCGCTGTAAATTTAACAAGAAGGAAATTAAGTCATGTCCAAAAACGAAGAGTTTGCACAGCGAATTTGGCAAATTTTGTGTTCGTACGGATGTAAATTACTATTGATTTTTTTTTTTTTGAAATAAATTTTCGTGCACATACAGAATGAATGGTTAATAATTTAATATATATGTAGACCAAGCTCTGTGCACGGGATGCTTCCTGGAAGAATCCAGTTCTTTTAGCGGGGCACCCTACCTAAAGCCAAATTGAGATATAATAATCATATTCCTAGAGAAATAATCAGAAATCGAATACCAATCAAATAATATGATATATATGAGTAGTAACCATATTTACTATGCAAAATGCCCCAACCACATAGTGTAAATTTATATAGAATTCAAATTCCATATCATCATTAAACCTCAATACCTAGTCAATATAATAGCCCAAGCAAAATTAAATAACTTCTTATATACCTTACTGTCATACTACAAATTAATTAAACATTTGAAATCTGTTGACCAGAGAATAAATTTCTAAGCCTAATGCAAGTGAAATAATTTAGATGCAATAATGAATGCCTAATGTGAGTATCATTTGTCAATGTCCTTGTAAAAAAGTCTGTACAAGAGATATGAGTAACTAATATAGAAGAAAAAACAGGAAGTTGTCGTCTGTTCTGATGACATGAGCCTGTAATATTCGTATATTGTCTAACCTTATAGCTAGACAATGACCATTGCTTGATTAGATATATTGTTTGAATGACCAATTTGGATGATGTAAGTGTTCTTGATTTAAACCCTGTTCCGTTTACGCAAATAAGTTATTTTTTAGACATTTATGTTAAAATTTGTTTGTTTTCTAAGACGAAGGCTGTGAGATGTTCACAGTTCTGATGGCGAAGAAATTAGGAAGAATGTTTAAAACTAGTGATGATGTTTATGTCATTATTCTTATATTAATCTAATCTAAGACATTCTACGGCTAAAGCAGCACAATCTAAAGGACTTAGAAATCCCAACTAGATCAAACCAAATAGAAAATAAAACGCTGATGCATGTGATTTACACTATATAGGCGAAGATGAGAAGCTATGCTCGCACAGCAAAGCATTGAGGGAATAAGCCAGCGCAAACTCAGACCTTACCAAGATTTATCGATCCCTGGAATACCTGCAGATTAAACTAGCATCTGCCGAATAATTAAACGTATGATAGGGAAACTATGACGGAGGAAAGGAAGCTACACTCATGTTACCTAGCAAATGCGTACCAGCTGGAGGAATCTGTTTAATTATATTGTAAACTCTTATGTTTTAGATCTATGGCAACTTGCGTCGGTAGTCAACTAAAACAATTGGGTTCAGACAGGCCGTGATTCGGATTAAACTCACTGACTGTGCAGCGTGATGTGAAATTGTTATCGTCTTAATATGATCGGATGACGAACTGCTACCTTCAAGTCCTTTTCTGGAGTCAGAAGGGCAAAGGCAAACAGTTAGTTGAAAGCAAGGTTGTCAGTTTGCAACACCACAGGATGATTGTATCACTAAAATGGTCCAACAAATTTAAAATGACAGGGAAATATTGTAAGACCACTGGAAATTTGTATTCCTTAAAAAGTTTGTATTTCTTAATTTGTCGCTCGAAATTGTCGATAATTCGCACAAAGCTGATTCCCATTTAAGTCGACCTAGAATGTGAAATTCCAAGAATGAGCAATGTACATTTCACATATATTGTTTTCTTCCTACATCTGCTTTGACAAGCACATGTACTTGATGAATTACAACACAGTTACATACATGAATAGTTAAATGAACTAAGGGCAGGCAGATAGTCAGCACAGCAGTATTATCTCAGCAAAGGGAACGAGAAATCTCTCCAAAAGCCTAACAAGCGCTCGATTCGTAAGGTGCCAAACAAAAGTACTCGAATATGCGCGGCGCTACCTGAAAAATATTAAAATTGCTGTTTGATCATTTATTAATTGATTAATTGAATAATAAATTTTCTAACCAGTCGATCTTTGGTCAAATTATTATGTTTAACAAAATTAAAAATTACTAAAACAAGTTGGAGGGACTTCGCCGCTTCGAGCGCCGCGCGAACTAGCATTCTTGCTTCGCATCGAATCCGTCGTCGTTGCTTCGCAGAACAACAATCTCGACGGATTGACATCGTCAATCAATAAAACAAAGTATTACAAAATTAAATATGTTTACTCAAAACTAAAAAACTTTTAATTAACAATGCGCGGGCCCTTGCTCTAACCAGAGCCCTCTCGCTTGCAGTAGCGCTGCGACCGCCCGGCTAATTGTGAAACAAGGCGCGTCACCGCAGTACGCGTTAGCACATGCTATGTGAACCGCGGGCCCGTTATAATCTTTATTTGTGATTAATATATATATAAGCTGCGCGCATTTTTAAATTTTTTACAGATCGTTTAATAAATCGTCACTAATATAATGACAAATGCAAATGAAATAAAATTTCAATGTCAAAATATCAAAAAAATTAAGCTTAAGTTATTTAAAATTTCATTAATTACAAAAAAGAGTTGACACATGTTGTATAACTTTTTCGCGCGCACGCGCGGTAGCTGAAGGTATCTGGTATATACAACGTATACATAAACCAATGAAAATTCAATTAAAATTCACTTAAAAACTGTGTTGCATTAATACAACACAGTATGAGGATTGAGGCAAGGGCAGATTTCTTATGGTGTCGGGGGGCTAGAATTTGCTCTAACCAGAGCCCTCTCGCTTGCAGTAGCGCGCGTTGATGAAACAAGGCGTCACGCAGTACGCGTAGGACACATGGCTATTGGAAATCCAAGTTGGTGTCACGTGACATTTATTCCTCAAAAATCAGTAATTCGGGGTTGGTCAGTGTCAGAATTTCGTCGGAAATGGTAGGTTCACGTGACCACTGCGTACGATCCACCAGAAAACGATAATCTTCAAGCAAATGCACGGCGTGTGGCCAACGATCATCATGTCTGAAACTCTGAAGCATGTGCGACCCGCTGTTGTCTCCTTATTTTGAAATTTGATTTGTGTTGCCGTGGCCGTGTTGGATGGTACAATAACATTTAACAGTTGCTTGGAAATGTATTATAATGCATTTGATTGGCATTGTTTTATACATCTCATAAAACGGATCGTTTGCCCGCCAATTCAATTGTTAAAATCAAAATATCAGCTGTGCGTGTGCTCCAATGAAAAAACAGGGGCAATGTGTTTATAATCGCATTTTTTTGAAGCCAAATTATAACAAACATAGTCGGTGCGATTATAAAACTAATGCACTGGTTATAACACCAGAAGCGTGGAGTTATCTAACTGCATGTATAATACGATTACACCAGTTATTGCACTTGGCGCGCCTCGTGGAAAATAACTGCAATAATCGAACTCGCATCGGCCTCGGGCGATTATTGCATCAATTTCACTCGGCTGCCGGCCTCGGTGCAATTAATAGTGTAATCGCATTATACGCAGTTAGATTAGCGTATATTATTACACAGGGGGGACCTGGGGTTATTATGGAGGACGTTCTAAAAAGTTACTTTTCACAGCTTATAACCTAACTTGAGATTTAACATTTTGCAACTTTCTCACTTACTACTGACTTACTGACTTAAGTCGGCTTCTTGGTCGAGCAACAACTACAATTCCTCGCCACACGTCGCGGTCAAGCATAACAGATCTTATCTCTTCAACACAGGAAAGGCTGGTGTCCTTCTTTAGCATGTCCAGAAACGTAAGGTGGGGCCTCCCCGGTCTCCTGTATCCATGCTGAGGGTCCCAGAACAGAAGTTGGTTTGCCAGAAGGTCGTCATGCCTGGCTACATGTCCAGCCAGTCTCATTCTTCTGGAGGCTATCATCGCTGATGGCTTGGGGATGTTGCCGTATAAATCACTGTTGTTGATGATTTGTGGCCAACGTATGTTCAAGGCCATCCGGAGCATTCTAGTGTAGCATCCATTGATCCGCTTAGTCATGGATTGGCTTATCGTCCAAGCTTCAGAGCCGTACAGGAGTACAGGCTCAACCGTTGCTCGAAAGACACGGATCTTTAAGTCCCTGCGCATTCCAGACTTCCAGGTTGTCTTTAACTGATGACAGGCCCCCCATGCCTTTGCTTTCCTAACATCAAAGTCCTTCTCCGCACTCATTATTCTGCTTCCAAGGTAGACAAAGTCATCTACTTGCTCTATCTCCTGCCCACTTGCTGCTTTAATGACGGTAGAGTCAGACTCAGAGAGATTGACTCTGATGTACTTCGTCTTACTCTCGTTGAGGTGAAGTCCAACGGAGTTAGCAGCCAGCTCCGCACTGAGGAGAAGATCTTGCGCTTGCTCTGCGGTGTCTGTTGTCAGTGCAAGATCGTCAGCAAAGTCGACATCTGTCATCTTAACTGCTGGGTATCTCCTGCTTCTTCTGGGGTTGACAGTGAAGCCCAGATCTTTACCTCTAAGTGCTGTTGTCATCACATAGTCAATGACAATCACGAAGAGGTAGGGCGCCAGTGTATCTCCCTGCATAACTTACTAGCAAGTCCATATCTCCCAAGGTTCTTCCTCGCGTCCTGGTAGTCCAGGTTAAACTGGTCCTGTAGGTACTCCACAGCCGTCTTCTCGTACGGAAACTGGTCCGCTGCGTGCTGGTTGTATGTTCCTGTCCTCTAAATATTTGTCATCATTTCATTTATTGTAAATTAGGC